AAACAACTTTCTAATATGACTATGAGTACCTCCCATGAATTATTATTGGCTTGGCATATTCCAAATCTTTGCTAATTTCATCCTTAGCTAAAGAGACGAAAATAGGTCGTCCTCCCCCGGCATCGCACAATTTCCCTAGGCGCAGTATTCGTGTCTCTAAAGAATACGACACCAGCGAAATATTAGTCATTTGATATTTCTTTTGGCAATGTTCTATTTATGAATTCATAAAGAGATGAATTTTAATCTCGCACAATTTCTACCACGATTTTGTGGGGAAAATATGGAACTTATTTCAGTATCCATAAATACTTTATTCTAATTTGAATGACGTCATGCTACTTTGGAGTCAAGAAATTATTTTGTAGCCAGCCGAACAGTTATTAAAATGATATTTAGCAACAAATAAACTTGACAATAATGTCTCACTACTTCTTTTAACGGCATCTTTGAAGAGGATATAAAGTTGAAAGTTGTAAAAGTTGAAGTTAGTTGAAGTAACTAAGTTTCAAATACTGTTTTAAGACAGAAGTCAGTGGCGATATTCTGCAGTTTATTATATTAAAATTTCGATAACATTTTTTAAGAATGAAAGCTGCAAAATGACATAAATTTGAAGCTATAATTTGGCAGTTTTATTTGTGAAAGTCAATGCTGAATTTGTGCTAGTCAATACTAGTCTTAAATTTCGTTTTGTCTCTTATTGAACAAAGTTCATACTTTTGGGAGTACTATTAAACAAATTTTGGTTTTTCACAGGTATTTTATACTAGATTAATCCTGACAAAGATTTAATATACAGCCGAAATCGACAATAACAATAGCCAGCAGTTGAAATATTTCTGCTATAATGGTTATTATTCGCTGGATCAAATATGAGCTAACTATATATTTTCTTAAATTAAAACAAAGAAAGATTGATAGCGCATTATTAATTATTTTCTCCTAATCATGAATTTAAGTATTTACTTTATATCCAGTTTTAATTTACATATTTTTTGCTTTGAATTTTTATTTGAATAGACATTAATTTTTGCACATTTTGTACCATATCAAAGTTCTGATAATTTATGAAGTGTTTTAATAATTTATAAATAAATCCATTATCGTTTTAAGTGTATCTGGTTACTAAATAGACCAGGAATTCTGGAGTATTTTACCAGTTATCTTCAGAGTTGAAATAAATTATATAATTTAAGACAACGCAAAGTTAGAAATTAAGGAAATCGCAATTAAGATCGCAGTTAACGAAACTCCAAATGCAGACTGTCAAAGAATTTTAACACATGTTCTGATTATTATATCTATATGAAGTTTTCAGAATTCAAACTATATAATAGATATACGAAACTATAAATTAATATAATGGCTATATAACCATTAGATTATTATAATAGATATACGGAACTATTAATTAATCTAATCTTTTCTTATTTTAATTGTGTAAATGATTTTCTTTGTATTTTATTTTTTGTTTTATTTTACAAATCATATTTGTTTGATTTGTTCGTATTATTTAAAGCTGATTTATTTTCCTTACTTGCATTTTGTAAGCTTTGTGTGATACTTTGCAATGCAAAAGGGATTTGGTTTCCTTTCAATAAAAAAAATAATAACAGAGAAGATAAAATCTGAAAGCCTACTGGTGTTTTTTTCATTTACAGACACATATAGCATTTTCATTTACAAACACATATAGCATTAGGGCTAAAAATGCTTAAAAACAGAGTATCTATAGGATTTCTGATAGACAGTCTCGCGCACTGGAGATAAAAATCTTTTACTCCGTACAGTGTGTTGCCACTTCTCGCTTTGAAATCGATCAGATTCGTAATAAAAAATTCGTTAAAATTTCAGAAATATGAAATAGTTAATAAAAAAATTCGAAATTCAAAATTCGGGCTTCCAGGTGCCCATGTTCTGGTGGAGGAATATGTTATTCAAAACTTGATGACTCTAGGCACCGTTTCACAGTGCAAGAAACATACATACACTCATGTAGATTCTTCATTACTTAGATTCTTTAAATATAACACAGGGCGATAATATTAACAACTTGAAAAGTGATACATCGTATTTAAGTGATTCAACGCCAAATGCCGTTTCGAGAGTAATAGCCCTTCTGGAATATCTCCAAAGCATCCTTTAAAAATATACATTTAGAAATGTACACTAGTAAATGCAGTTGTTTACAAAGTCCTCCATCTGTGTACGTAAGTATTAGCCGCCATGGCCTTCCCGTTTTTCGAAACAAGCCTGGATTTCTTTTCTGGAAATATTATTGATAATCTGCCGCCCATTATGTTGGATGTCAGTTATATGAAGAAATCCTCGTCTTTTCAGCTTCTTAATTTTGAAATTACAGGCTTACTCCTCGAAAGCAGAGTTTCCAATGAAACTTTTCATAAGCCGAAATGACTTTCTCCCCACAAAAATCTTACCAAATACTTCTTAAAATATAAAATAATAGACTACAATAATAAATAAATAAATGAAAATAAAAATGATTATATGATAACTGCATAGATAATAGAAACAAAAATAATGTGTATATGATGTAGTTCCAACTTCTCGAAAATTAAAAAGAGAGCAAGTATATTAATATACTTTAAAACTAGAAGCTGTGGAGAGCATTTGTTGAGTTATTCTAGATTCAGAAGAAGGATATATATGGCCCACTTCCACTATGTGACAATGAAAGGATGAAGATCGTGTTTTGGTTCCATAGTTATCAGCCCAAAAGGGCTATTCGTATGGAAATGGAATTTTGCATCGAATCTCTGTAAATGTGTTGTTTCACTTTTCATTCTAGTCTGTTGCTATTCGACAGAATGTAAGATATTTATATTTCAAATTAAATCTGTCTGATGTGGATTAATAAACTAAGCTATTGTAAAGCAATAAATGCATTTCTTGAGAATATTCGTTTTTTATTTGTAAGTTGGAATAATTTAAATAACAAAAGTGCATTTAATTCTTATTAAAATACTCCATATTTTTATAGAATGAAGTTATACATTTTTTATTCTTTACTTTATATTTTGTAAAACTTTAATAAATTTTTAGTTAATAAACTCAAAGATTTTAAAGCAAGCAATAGCATTATTATTTCTTTAAGAAATGACGTTGAATTTGATTTTGAAGTTTGTGTGCTGCCATATATTTTTAATCGAATGTTTAAACAGTTGGTAAAAAAGTACACTATTTCTTTGTTAGTTCCAGCCATACTGACTTTGTTACCCGCGGAAATTCTTCTCTTATCAGTAGTCCGTTTGTGGTAGCGAATTAAAAAAAAGTTAATTTATTGGCTTACATTTATTCAAAATTTAATCATTAAAGAAAATTTAGCAAGAAATAAAAACAAGAAAGCCGTTGATTCTAATAATATCTGGCTGCTACCTAATAATTATACCAAAATGTTTCATTTTCCATTTGTCCTTCTGCCACGCGTTTTTGTATAGGTTTTTCACTTTTAACTGCTGCCAATTAAAGTTTCTTTTACTAGTCCTCTATGATGCTTTTATTGAATACGATTTTGCAGTTTTTCTTGCACTAATAATCTTTACTTAGTTACGCTATTTTATTCAGCGATAAGAATACTTTTAATATTTTATTTTGCTGTACATCTAATCTCGTTGTATTTGAATTATAAATATATATTTAGAAAGGCAATTTATTAAGTAAGAAAAGAAATCTTACACAAACTTCGACTTGAAAAGTAAATAAAAAGATTTCATAGTGCAAAATAAATATTGATTAAATAACTGTTATTCTTCAAAATTAAAGTATACGCTAATGATACAAGGTGAAAAGAGCTGAAAGTAATACATTAAGGTATAGATGACGATGAACTAAAATAAAAAAATGTGAATTATTTTCCAAAAATAATAAAATGAAGAATATACATGAAATTTGAGTACGTAATATAAGTTTACTAAAATTGTAAATTGTAAGATCGAAATAAAAAGTTAAAACAAAAAATAAAACCTAAAATCAGGAATTCATCTGAAATGAAATTTCAGAGGCAAAGAGCTTTCATAATATTTCTTTTTCTCTCAAACTTTTCCAGAAAATGTTTTTCTCTTAACATATATAGAATAAAAGAATTCCCTTGACATTAGTCAGATGTTTGCTTTAACATTTGCAAGCAGTTTAATATACACGATTTTTCGAATGTTAGACTTATTGATTTTGAAAATTTTACGATTACCCTATAGGGTTGAATTTCATTAACTATCCGATTGCTGCTGCTTAATATTTCCAGCTATATGACAAATTTTTGTCTGCGCAGCTACTTAAAAATCTAACGAAACTTCAATAACCCAGAGAAGTCATACTTAAGTAAAATGTTTATTAGACTATTATTGGTAAATCTAATCAATAGTAACCATTATTACTTACGGACTTTTCATACCTCAAGTTTGTAAGTCGAGAAATTAACAGTCTATTTTTCGTAAACTAACTCGGTCTCTGAAAAGGGATTCTAACGTTAATGTATAATAGATATACGAAACTATTAATTAATCTAATCTTTTCTTTAGATTAATAGGATTCTGGATCGTTGCTACTGTACTGTATTAAGCTACAGCCTGGTTGCTTAAACTTAATTTATATTCTGGTAAAGGACAACTGAAAGCAGAGGAAAGAATTAATATAAAATTAAAGATGTGGTTGAAATGCAAACTATAACACAACTTGTCATATTACCAGAAACAAACAAAAAATTGCAAGACCCCATGAAAACGGAACATCTGCAAACATGAGATTAACTGAAACTTTGGACAACATTTCTGAAATTAGTGAAGTTAATTTAGGTATGCATTTATTCACTCAACATTCCAACTGAACTATGTATTAGAATAACGTAAAGTAAAATTAAAGAAATATAATAGATTAAAAGACTTCACAAATTTATTAGCGCAGACTAGGAAATGAAAAGCAAAAGATTTAAAGCGGAATTTAGTTATGAGAATTAGTGAATGATAAAGAATACCACTTACCATGAGACTCAGGAGATTTGGGCTGTTAGTCACCCACTCGTAAGGGTTTACGGGAACTGCCCAGCACCTTGAAGGAGAAGAGCATTAATATGTAAAAGACTTTAGCAAAGCTGCAGAATATTTAAATTAAAACTATATTGTCGATTAAAATCTGGAAAACAATATTGACATTAGTAGCTGTTAGCAATATGAAAATGTGTTAGAATGTCTTTTGAGGAACAAAAACATAAATTTTAAGATTTAGCATGAAAGAAACATACTTTTACATATTCAAACATTGCTCTTATCAGTGAAAGCAATATCTGAGTATGGAAGAAAACGCGCATTTTTAAAGCCATTGCTCAATTCATCATAAGAGGTATCCAGTTATTATTTAAATCTAAAGTGAGAATTATTTATAATGAGCATAAAACATATGTTTATTTGAGAAAAATCTCGTAAAAATACATGGCATTATTAGTAATACATGGCAAATGGAATTGAAGAAATAACTCGGAGAAAGATTCTGCATTTGCTTAAAAGCTTACTCCTTTACGGGGCATATAACAATTCTAAGACTTTGTCAGGGTTTAAAAAATATTACGAATTCATGTGAATATATATATTAAAAGAAAAAGGACTGGCAGATAGCTTATGCAAAATCCTTCATATCAAAACATAAAACTGAATTATTTGAAAGTTCGGGCTAATAAGAAAAGAAAATAAATAAAAAAATGTTGTACTCACTCTTCGTCAGCGAAGTACCACCTGAGAAGAGCAAATGTACCCACTGGGAAAAGAGGAAAAACTGAAAGAAACGTAAAAAAAAGGCAATAAACTTCAATGGCCGAATATATTTTTAGTTCACAGTTCTAAGAAATAAAAAATAACTTCGAGAAAAACAGTACCCAAAAAGAGAATTTTTATTCCAATAAATAATACAAAATTCTACCAGACTAGGAAGATGTAAGTAGAGACTTATCATCCTAAACTTGTAAAATATTCCTATTCCTTGCTGATAGAAGTCTATGTATTATGGGTTATGGTCTTGAAACTTTATTTATTTAAATATTTTATTTCAGTTTCATTTTGAATATTTTATTACAAGCACTTCAAACTATTTTATTACAGTTTATAACTGTAAAGAAAGAAAAACTGAAATCGAGTTAAATGATGTTTTTCTAGGAAAAATATTGAATATAAATATAATTTAAATTGGTATCAGGAGATTTTGCTGGAAGCATTATTTTAATTTTTTTAAAAACTGATGATGCAACAAAATTCTAATCCAATATATATTGGGAAACTGAACCTTTCTTTATTTTTCCGGTGATAAAAAATTCCTCTTGAATAGTTAAAAGCAATTGAAGATTAGGGGAAAAACTTAGGATTAAAAAGATTTCACTGATTCTTTATTGAGAAATGTAAGAAATGGCTTTATAAATATCTTTTATTAATTTTAATAGTTATACAAAAGTTCATAAAAGTAACAGCTGCGTATGTTTTAAACCTAATGCATATTATATTATTTTAACTAGATAACTTCATAAAAAATAAGATAAAAATTAGGTTGTTAAGAAGTATTGTATTATTACTTTTACTTCAGTAATAAGATTGATGAAATTTGGAAAATACACTGAATATTTAAGTTTTGTTAAATGACACCTCTCTGAAAATTATATACTTGCGAGGCCCTTAACAAAAAAATTGATTGATTTAAGATGTATGTTTGCCTTTTTTACTTTATATCGCTTCGAAATATTTTCTTACTAGTGAAAAAGCGAATATTTCTATTCTCCCGAAACAGGGTAGTCTAGAGAAGTAAAAAAAATCTTTTATTTTTTTCTTTGCTTTGAGGCATGTAATAGATGGCGTTAGAAATGTTAATAAAATTATAATTTATTTATATTATAAATTAGATGGATTTTAAATTATGCCAATTCAATAAAAAGCTATAAAGTTACTATAAATACAAAATAAAGCCTTAAATTAGTTAAGATATACCTTCAGGTTTTTAAAGAATTACAGGCTGATTAAATCTGAAACTTAAATGATCTTAAGTTTGCGGAATTTCAGTCCTTTCAAAAATGGTTGTTTGCGATGTTGCATGAAGAATAAATTAAACCCTTCATTTTATGAGATTTTGCGGAATGGCAACGCTTCCTAAACCACGTAGATAATAAGTATATATTATCATGAGGATAATGTAATGTAAAAACATCGTTTCTAATTTCAAAATTAAAAGAAAACACTAATAATTTTTATATTCTGACACTTGACAAAGATTTGCTTCGCGGAGTAAATGTAAAAAAATCATGATGCCATTCATTAAACGGATATTTCGCAATTGCGTACCTTTTAAACTGTCACAAGTACTACTGGGTAACCAAACAGAAGCCCCCATTGCCACCAGAAAGAATGACACCTTCCAAACCGTTTGCTACAACTGGTATAGAATTTGCTGGTCCCTGTCTTTGTACGCTGTACTCCACCCTTGCATACAGAGTACATTGTACTATTCACGTGCTCAGTTACTCGAGCTTTACATCTGGAGCTCGTTTCGGACCTGACAACTGATTAGTTCACGATGGCACTTCAAAAGTTTATCGTCAACAAGGACCCCCCTCATAGCATCTATACTGACAGCGCCATCTCCTTCCAAGCCGCAATCGATAAGCCGCAAAACGATACTAGATTAAAATGTATTGTGCCGTGGGCAGCTTGGTGGGGATGTTGGGGGGGAGCTTTTATAGGATTAACTAAACGATGTCTTCGAAAATCGCGCGGTCGCTCGTTGCTAGATGAAGAAGCCCTCTCTACTGCATTAGTAGGGGTAGAATCCATCCTGAACAGCAGACCAGTGTATGAGCAAAGAAATGACAATTCCGAAGAAGCCTTGACTCCATTTCCTAACTGCCAGAAACTCACAGCATTGCCATCGAAACCTGAATCCGAATATAAATCTCACACGAAATTATGGAATGCATAAAGATTTGTTGGATATATTCGGGAAGAGATGGTCTAAAGAATATCTTCGGGAGCTACGCAGCTATCATCAAGTGAGCAACATCCACAAATTATTTCCATTAGGAAAGGAGATCTAGTACTTCTTCAGGAGGATGTGATGCTTCGGCATATGTGGTAAAGGGCCCTTGTAGAAAGGATAATCGAAGGCCGCAATGGAAAAGGTAGATCATGCATACTGCGTGTTGATCGCAAAGAAATGACTCAACTGATGTAGCTGATCATATGTCTTAAGGTTGAGTAAGGTGAAGAGGATATTCTGGCCTCTCGATGGACAGTGTTTCTCGTGACATTAGTCACGATTTTCATACGCGCGGAGTTTGACTTAATTTTTTAACTTGGCAACACAAAACTGTAAGAATGAAATGTTTATGTTTAAAGCAGTTGCATGTGTAATAGAGAAAATAAAATGTGCATGTAAGCGCAATAAACTTTATAATGTTCCTCACTGCTTTGTCTATAACAAAATGTCGACGAACCTAGTAAACTGTGAAGTGACGTATCAAGCATTAACAACGTATACTCGAGAAAGGTTAAAATATCCTTTTATTCCTTCAAAGAAATGATAACAGTTGCCCCCTTCTCGAGCTTACAGTAAAGCCGCCACTCGGAATTTTGACACGTTGATGCTGGTCTGACCCACCGGTGAGTCATACTTGTCTGTTCCGTGGGGCTGCATGATCCATCGGTAGGTCATGCCTGATTGTTCTGCGGGCCGGAATGACTCACATATGGGTCACGCTTGTATATCAAAAAATACGTAGTACAATATTTTATTTTATTTTAATTATTCAACAGATTACATTAACATTTCAACACTATAATCAAACATTTAATGCAAAACAAATAACTTAAAATATTATTAAATATAATTATATAATTATTAATTTTTTCCATGCAATTTTTTAAAGCAGGCTAAATATAGTGCCGGCTTGCCCTTACAATTATCGCAATATGTTGTTACTTTCTTTGCTCTATTCGTGGCATACTGCATACCTTTTAGGCTTGCTAAGCGTTTATAGCATTCTTTGTATCGCTTTCTCTTGTTTATCACAGATCCTTTGTACGAATTTAAAAAATGTCTTTTCTTTTTTGCTATTATTACTTCACTAGGGGTATTCACAAAACATAGGGACCACGAAATGGATTCAAGCGCCGCCGCGCGAAAAGAACAATACATATCCGCGCCGCCGTCAATGTGTTAAATCACGATAAGAAAATAAGAAGATGGTCTAATATTAACTAAAATAGACTTAGCCAAAGCTAGACACAAATATCTAACGTAGTTGGATTTGCATTCAGCGCGATTCTAAAAACTCATTCTGGTAGGGAGTTGTAAGTGGGAAACAAGAAATGAAAGGAAAGGGTTTCAAAATTAAAATAACTGTTATAAAATTTAGAATCCATCTTACAAATTTATCAGAGCACTATGCAATGCTTTTGACACTTAAATAATTTAAAAAAAATAATTTAAAAATTTAAGTGTAAAAAAAAGCTGCTTTCATTCCCTTTCCAATTTACTAAATACACTTACAATTTACTAAAGCATTTTATAGAAATGCATTTCTATAAAATACTTTAGTACTCTTCTACTGTAAAATAGTTAAGCACTGAGAAAAATCTGGAAAAACGAATTCTAGATAAGAAGATAAAAACTGCATTTAACTCGGAAGTGTTTATTAAAGCTTTATAATGTGAAATATAAATTAAAGACTGTATATTGCATTGATTGACAACACTCTGGAAACTCTTTAGCAGGTCGCATGGATGATATAGTATAAAAGTTCTTATTTTTCTTGCAGTGGACAATACTAGCCAAACTGGATCGTTGATAAATATATAATAGCGTAGCACAACAGTTAAAACATTTTGAAAAAACTTTGCTGTTTTGGGAAATTTCATGATATTTTGAAAATATTATGGAAAGTCTAAAGTCGCTCAGCAATTAAAATCAATATTTTGAAAGATGAATGTAAATTCTGTATCATGTCGATCGGCAACACTATAGAATCTGGCTACGTCTTCACAGCAAACAAATAACATATTTTACTTTGTGCAATGACAACATTTTCCTTCTGCGTGAATTAAAAATTCCATAATAGCATAATGTATGTCAGCATAATACAGCGGTGTAAAAATTCTCTACAGGATAGGATGTTATAGTACACGCTCTATAAGGATGTTATAGTACACGCTCGAAATCTGAACAAAGAACAAATAAAAACAAAATTACTTTATATATTTGTAACCAGTGCTGTAAAAAGCTAATGTTAAAGCATTCTAAAGAAGTAATTTCAATAAATTTTACATTATAGCACACATATGCGTTTGATAGCAATTAATATGCAAGTATTTTAAATAAATCCTAAATTTTCATTAACACTGTGCTTAAAGAAATTAAAAATTTTTATAGAAATGAAATGTTCAGCTAAAATACAGAGTTAAATTGTAACTACCATATTACATGTAAATCATATTACTTACTTATATTAATATAAGTAAGACAAAAATAATTGGATATCTCTTAGCTCGGAGAAACCCATTTGACATAGATATACATGAATAACGCTATAAAAACTAATACGCAAATGCACTAATACTGTAGAAATATTTTGCCATCATAATAAAAAAATCAAAAGAATAAATTTTTTTAAATGAAGCATGGCAGTGAGAGACCACAAGTTCTACCACTGAATCAGTTTTCTGCGTCAATGAGTGTATCAAGATTAAAATGTGAACGTCGCTATCGTAAAATGAAAACGGTATAGAAACATAAAATCCAAA